ACCCACCTTTCAGGCACGGCTTTATGAGCTTCTCTCCTTTCTGTACTAGCTCAGGGCTCTCCTTCACTGCCCATACAACTCTTTACTCAAGTTTCCTCCGCAACAATCTGCTCAGTTTGAATCACAGGATGCTTGTTTATGAAAATTAAACTATACACTTGAACAAGTTATCCTTGGCAGAGATGGAATTTGATGCAATCTGCAGCTTTGCGTCCTGTAACTCCTCTTCCCCAAACTAGCTCTCCTATGTCCTGCTAACTTCAACCCAAATCCCCTCAACAGGACACTGCGTTGCCATTAACTTTGCCTATCTCGCATCAGTTTAACCTCTGTCTGAGCAGTCCATAAGCCTGTAAAGAAGTGATATATGAGAAAGGCTTTAAGATCTTCTCATTACAGTCTGACTTTGGATTATCTGCAGAACATCTTCAGATATTAAACACATTTTCTAGCTGACTCAGAGACAAAGTAATTTTAAATGACAGTTCTTTAGGGAAGTATTTTATTATTTGATTATAGCCCTCCTCAATGGCTGTATTTCAGTTGGTGGTTCACAGAATATGTTTTTATTTTAATTTGACCATCAGTGCTTTTGGTTACATCTAAGAGTTATTGGCAAACACCATTTATTACATCTTAAAATAAAACCACTTTTTTTTTTTCCTAGTTCTCTCTCTCTCTCTCTAATAGCTGTCTACACTGGAAAAAAAGTTCTTAAATGCTACATCTATGCTGCAGTGCTCATTACAATTTAGCCAGCTGAGCTAGGAATATACCTTTCTTTCAGTAGCAATATTGCCAGAACATAACTCAGCATTACAATTTCTCCAGTGGCAACGCTTCATTGAGCTCCTTCATTCCCAACAGCTCCCGGCTCCCTTCCCCACAGTCTACTTACAGGGCTGTGCTGTAAACCAAGCGGGTGAAGTGATTCACGTCAAAACCAAAACCTTACAACACACACAGTTATTTATTACGCATTTAAATTCAAACCACTTACTGATACAGTTTATGGTTCACCCATGCCAGAAAGCTTCCCTGCCACAAGTGTGCTGCTAGTGGAGCGTAGCATGGGACCGAAACTTGCTAAACTAGAATTGAGAGATGGAGCTATACCCTTAATTATTTCTTCCTTGTTCCTTCCTTTTTGATTTTATTGCTTTCATTTGATGTAAACCTATCTATACTTCAGAATAAAAAAAAAAAACTTTTTTTCCAAAATGTTCCACCTGCAGTTAACGCCAAGCAACGCAGATTCAACAGTGCAGATACTCTGCTCAAAAACTATTCAACCTTGCGTTCCAATTAGGAATATTTATAGATTCTGAGTAATACCTCGAGGTCCCAAAGCTAATCCTAGATTCTTGTCCTGCGAGCATCACTTGTTATCTTCGTTAATGTTGTGTCAAAGGTCTGCAGGTCGAATTTATATGAATACAGACTGCACTAAAGAGCAACTTTCCAGACACACGCATTTGTAAAAATAATCTTAAAAAAATTTACAACTAGTAAAATGGTCCTTCCCTCACCTTTTTCTTTTTTTTTGGGGGGGGAGGGGGGCCAAAGACAAACACTGGAAATGTTTGTCTAAAAATAGTGATTTTAAATTTTCACCTATTTTTCCCTTGAAAGTTCCCCAGCTTCTTAAAACTAAACTATAGTAAAACAAATAAAAACACAAGCTCTTTTTTTCCTTCCTCCTTTTTTCCTTTTCCGAACCTTATTCTGAGAGGGTGGGCTAGGTTCTCATTTCATTTATTGCACTGCAAATCTCAACATTTCATGGACTTGTCTACAAGTTACTGAACGGTAGATTATGGTGTGAATTCAACAGTGCTTTAACTTTTTTGCATCAACTCCCAGGAGTCTTAAGGAGCAGCATAGAGCACTTTTGTGTCAGACAGCTGACTCTTAAAGTTGAGTGAAACACACTGCGTTCGGGATGCGTTAACAGTTCCTACGCAGGGAGCTGCAGCCTGTTGCAAAGTAACATATTGCAAATTCAATCCCTGGCTTCCTAGTAGAGCCCCAGGGCCGCTACTATGCGTTTACGCCACAATGCACGAGTTCAGAACTGCACCATTTGTTGGGCTGAAACTGCATCCGAGTCTTGTTCAGAAATTTCCCCTTTAGCCCAAATTACTCTTGATACTGTAAGGAAATATATATATATACACACACACACACACACACACACACACACACACCCCCA